TTTTGATGAGGAAGATGAAGCAAAGGATGAATATAGCTCAAAGAATATATTGGAGTGCAAGAGGTGTGTTTTGAAATGAAGGAGAATGAGGGATTAAATAGGCTGAGGAAAATAAAGCCGTTGAAGAAAGCTGATGTTCTGTACCAGAGAGAATTAATCGATTAAATTAGGAATTTTAATCGATTAAAGTGTACAGAAGTGAAAAGGCTTGAAACCAAAAGTGGAATTAATCGATTAAAAATGAATAATTTTAATCGATTAAGTTGATTTGCCTGAGAAAACCAACGCTGTGAAATTTGATCTAATCGATTATTTTAGAGTAAATAATCGATTAAAGTAAAAAATAATGTGCAAACATGAAGGGCCCAAGCCAAGCGCAATTGGAAGCCCTTTGGCTTCTAACTCGTTGTTTGAGACAACGAGAATAACGAAACGCTCCTCAAAGAAATAATATCCTTTATTCAATGAATTTGAATAGGGGAGAAAAGGTGAGTCCAAAAATTATTTTGTGTGTCAAACGATGTATACGCAAAATATTTAAAGTATATTTTTCTTACCAAAAAAATGTGTAATCTTTAAAAAGAATGTTTTTAAGAAATTATGACACACTTATTTTGAAACTGACTTAGTAAAAAATATTTTAGACAGAGGAAAAGTAATTTTTCAACTGACTCAAAAATAATAATTTTTATCCCTCAGAAAATAATTTAATTGTGCAGAAGATAATGTCATCCTTACAAAAATTCCTAGACTCAATAAAAATAAAAAGTCTTCGGAGTCTTCGCTTCACTTCAAAAAAACTGCGTAGGGGTGAGCGTGAATTTTATCGCCGAAACTTCTTGATGCCCTTCTTTGCTTTTCTCGATCCGAAAAAAAAGTTTTCGAATATCGATTTAATCATCCTGTTTGTCATTCATCAAAACAAAAAAAATAATCCAAAAAATAATAAAGGGGTTTGAACTTATGTCCAACATATATATATATATATATATATATATATATATATATATATATAATAAAAAAAAAATTTCTCTCTCTAAGAATTCTCTCTCTTCTTATGCTCTCAACCACCGCCGGTGGCGTCACCGGCAGACCTCCGGCGATCATTGATACTCCTGGATGCTCTCATTTAGACCAGCCAGCAAAAACCTTCCTTCAAGCACTCAATGGCCAGCATTGTGCAGCTCCTATCATCCCTGAAGAAGTTAAGGTGGAGAAATACAAAGGCCTCCCCTGTGTGGCCTTCACCATCGATGAAGTAAACCAGCTTTTAGCGAGGTTCTCTAGAGCTCTTGTTGGCACTTTCTACTATGGAAGACCAAGTCTCCAATTCATCCGCCTCTGTCTGGAAAGGATAGGTTTCATGGCTTTCACAGTGGCTCTTTAGACACCAATCACATTCTTATTAATTTCTCCAGTGATAATGACTATCACAGATGTTTCAAAAGGCATGACTGGAAGATTGGCTCCTATTCAATGAGGATGTCCAAGTGGACTCCTGATTTTGACCCCAGGTATGAATCTCCAATCTTGCCTCTATGGATAGCTATCAAAGACCTTCCTATTCACCTTCACTCAAGATCTTCACTTTTGAGAATAGGAAATGTCTTTGGTAAGGCTATTAAAATTGACACAACTACTGAAAATTTTGGACGCCCATCAACTGCTCGTGTTTGTGTTGAAGTGGATATTTCTAAACCTTTGCCCACAAAGTTTTATATCAAAAATGGTGAAACTCCTGTGCTGCTCACTGCTATGTTTGAAGATCTCCCTGAGTACTATAATGAGTGCAGAGGGGTGGGCAGACATAGCAAGGAATGCAAATCCTTCATCCCTACACATCATCAACAGAGTCAAAATTGGTTTAATTGACCTTTCTCATAAAAGGTTCTCTCATTTAATTCATATCAATTATTCTCATGATTTATTTCAATAAATCATTTCAAAGTTCACATCATAATTAATTAATTTATTTATTCTTGATTTGGGTCTGTACTCAGGTTTCCAATCAAGACCACACAAATAGTCCACATATTGGATTTATCTCAATTAGACTTATCCAGATTTTGATATTGGATAAAAACAAATATTTCATATCCGCCCAAAGCCCAATAATAATCAAAACAAATTTGTTTAATCGAATAATTATTTAATAATAATTCTAGGGTATGTTTCGGGGCGTTACAATATATATATATATATATATATATATATATATATATATATATATATATATATATATATATATATATATATATTCTTGAATAGTACCTTTTTAGTTATCATTAGGTGGTTGTTTGAATTCTTCCTCTAGCCTTCAAAATTGAATGAACACTCGTTCTCGCGGTGAGAACATTCTTCCGGGAACCAAAAACCCCGAACTTTTGCTCCGACGCCGCACCGTCAAAGTTCCTCGTCAACTGGAGTTCAACGACGAAGAGCGAAGAGAAGAAGAAGAAGAGGAAGAAGAAAATCACGAAGAAGAGAACCAACACTCGGAAGAAGAAGAAGAAATGGCGGCTAATCCCAGACGAACGATCCTTCAAGCTATGAGCCCGGCGTACGTAGAGGAAGATCCCATAGGTCTCCCCGCTAGTCAAGCCCATTCATTTGAGATCAAACCAGCAATGATCCAAATGGTCTCGAATAACCAATTTGGAGGCTCAAAAGCTGAAGATCCAAGGGCACACATGCTATGGTTTTCGAGGACCTGCCAAACATT